TTTTTAATTCTACAGAAATTTCTCTTTTATTTGATACCCATATTGTTATTCTACTTTGCATGAGTTTTTTTAATAATATTTTTAATTAATCACATCGTTAAAATTTCAAAGTCCTTTTAAGAAAAATGCTAACGTCAGAGAGAACAACTAAATACGTAGTTTTAGTATTTATGGCCGCGCGAATTTATAGATTTTTTTTTTTGTTAAATTAAATGTCTCACTGTTTAATGTTCTCAAAATCCAGCAAACCACATCACTTAGCAACTGCTAACTTTTGCGCTGGGATGAATAATTAAGTCCTTTCATGATTCTAGTACGCTCTCGCATCGCACCCTACTGTGAAGTTTAAAGAAAATATTGCAATACCATTCTGTTTTAATAAATTAAATATCGAATAGCATCCCGATTTGTTGATAGCGTGTTGCCGAACAGATTCCTCGGCTCAAAAAAGTATTTTTTACAGCTGCGATCGCTTCTTTAGGGAAATTTTTTCCCCAACGGAGTTACAACCGGCCAAGTGAAGGTAGATTTTAAAAATCGGACAACAGACAAGAAAGTTACAACAACAAACGCGATTTAGCGATTTTTAGCGGGTGCCTAAAAAAAATTGTACAGCCAAAATTTTCTCTCGGCATATATACATAATGCTGGACTTCCACTGATCATTAAATGACAAAATTTTTTATGACAATATTGGGCATTAAACGATTTCGGAGGATTTATAACAAAGTGGAAAAATTTAAATTTTTTAAATGGCATAAATGTTTTGCCATTTCAATGCCTAGTGGAAATTCGACATAAGTGTTCAAATAAAACTGGCACACACTAAACTTTTTTTTCATGTTACGCCCTAATGTACATACATACATACACACTGCTCTAATGTTGAACGACAAAATGGTGAATAAACGTAAAATTTGCAAAAAAAATAAATAATGAAATGCTGCATGAAATTGTTTGGAAAATGCTGAACGTTAATAAGCAACGCAACATTATTACATAATTCTAAAATGATATGTGGTGGATGAAGTGACCAAAGCTCCATAAGTATAATAAACAGATGTATGTACTCTCACCAACAACAAAGTGTAATGTTGCTAATTTTATTTCAGCATTAATGGTTGTTGGTTCAATCAACTTAACTGTGAGTCATACAAACATACATACATATGTAGGGTATGGACAACTGGCATCTCACAAATGACGGCAGGTAACAAAATAATCACCTAAATCTGTATAATTTGGTGACAGCTGCCTAATGAGTGCGGTGGAAAAAATTAAATAAAAAAATATTGTAAATAAATCAGGTTAATTGGAAATGCGGAAGAGTTTTAGCAAACAAAAAATTGCCAAAAAAAATAAAAAATCACGGAATTGGCAGAATTGTATTAGTATTTTTCATGTGCGACTAAAACAATTACAAATGCTGCAGTTTTAGTTATGTGTATACAAAATTGTGCTTAATTTCCGCATTTTAAATACATATACATATGTACATACAGTGCCGGACAAAATTATGCAGTTTTATAGCTCAACTAATTTTAGTATAACAAAGTGCAAGCTTGAAGGTGCTAAAAAATCGCATTGATTTTTGGCAATTTTTTTTTCAAAGTATGTTTTACAATTATTTTTTGTATGGAGAAAATGAGCAACACGTTCTACTAAAAAAATGTCCAAAAATCAACGCAATTTTTTAGATACTTCTAACTTGCACTTTGTTATACTAAACTTAGTTGGGCTATAAAACTACATACTTAGAATTTCTCTAAAAATCTGAATAAGAAGTTGCAAATTAGTATGCAAATTTATTGAATTTTCCTGAGTTTTGCACAAAGTTTAGAGATTTTGTGTTTATGTTTTTTGGTGAAGTACGAACTATATTTTTATTAAAAAATATTGAAAATAAATTAGAATAAAAAACTTTGCATATATTGCGAAAAATTCTCTGTGCCAATACTTTTGTTTTGTATATCTGTGTTCATATGGAATAGTAGCTTATGTCGAAAGGCTGGCTTTAGTATAATGCGGCATTTGCAGCATACTCTCTGGCGCGGTGCCGTTGAAGAAATTTTAGCAAATAAACGTGCAAGAAATAGTACCGATACTAGCAAGTCAATATTCTTATTAGGTTTCATCAAACAATTCCTTGTCGTTTAAAGCATAAAGGGAATGCCGCATTATACTAAAGCAAGCTTCTCGACATAAGCTACTATTCCATACGAACACAGATATACATCGTGCTTTAATTGTTACACTGGCTAAGCATGCCAACAGCGATTTCAATAGTGAAATTTCAACTGGACCTAAATTTCAAATTAATGCATTTAAAATAAAGAACTCAAACAGTTCTAAACAATTGTTGCATTTAAACTCTCCATTTATTAAAACCGTTATTTGGCATAATTTAAACATTTGTTTAAGCACCATAAAATTGTCTATTACACCATCAGCTGCATATACATGCATACGCACATTTAATTGCACGTGCATACATATGTATGTATGTATGCTTTGCCCCAACGACCAAAAATTTAAAATATCCAAAAAACTCCACAATAACTTGCCGATTTTTTAACAAAGCGAAATTTTTTTTTTTATTTCTTCACTGTCACTCTCACCAAAACAATTAAAATATAAACAACAAAGCATTTAAATGGTCATTAAACTTTGAGCTTTGTCCTAATCATTGTAATCATTTCCTCGGATGGCGCAAGTACCCATTACAAAAAAACAAGGTCAGCCGGAAATGTTCGTTTAGAAAAAGTGAATGTAAGTAAAGAGCACGTAACTACAATACTCCATTGCATGAAAGAGAAAAAGAGTATGTATGAAATTGAAATAAATAAATACTTTCATTTCCAAAGGTTTATGACTTTATTACAAAAATGTTATAGTTATTTTAAAAAATGTAGTATTTAAAACGACCTTTCTAAATATGAAATAAATCGGACCATAAATACGGATTTTTTTCATTTCTCGCCACCTAGCAGGTAACTTCCTGCTTATGTTGCATTATCATCGGGTTCTGAGCTAAGTTTTCAAGTCAAAAATCGATTGCAAGATTCGACCCAAACATACATACGTATATCATGGAAGCGATTTAAATAAAAGCTTGTAAAAATTAGAAATAAGAATCGTTTTACTGTGGAGCTAACAGCGATAGTAATTTTTAATTTTGTTTTTTTAATATAAGGATTAAAAATAATTTTAAATTTTTTAAATAAAATCGGAAACTAGCTGCACATAAAAAATACCAGGTGGAAACAAACTTAATGATTTTTTTTGTGGATATTATTCATTGCCCAACTCATTAAATGTCACTTTGTCATTTAATGCAGAGTCAAATCCGGCATTAGTTTTCAGTTTTAAAATAAACATTTTAAAATATAGCTTTTAGATTTTTTTAAATAAAAAAAAAACAATTTGTTTCAAATAATTATGTTATATTTTATCAAGATTTATTTGGATGACGTGCATATTTTAGAAATTTTAACAATTTTCATGAAAAGCCAAAAAATTATTAACTTTTTACTTGAAATTTTTCTCGGAAAATTTACGTGATGGAATTTGTTTACAAGGCACATAAATACAGGTAGAAGCCAAAATGACGTTGCTCTCATGAGAACCAAACCTTTAAACTTCAACTTGTTTTTCATTTATTTCCTATATTTCGTTACGCTTTGGATGTCATATCGTTGTTTTTTTTTTGAATGTTCGTTAATAACAAATTTTAATTAACATTTGAATTTTTGTAGTGTTGTGCAGTTTATACTTAATGTATGTGTTAAAAATGCAACACCGAAGCGTTGTTTTTTATGTGGTGTTAAATATGAAGCAGATACCATTTAACGTGCCTCAATGTCCTTCGCATAAAGTGCGTTGCGAAAGCAGCTGTGGGCCAGAGCTGCAGCGAAATGCCTTGCTGTGCGTTAAACATCTTAAAGCAGCAGATTTCATAAATGCACCGGGAGGTACAGGAAAGGCACGTTTGATGCCAAGTGCTGTTCCTATGACCCTTATGCCGGAAAGTCCCTCCAACAACACTGCAACTCATAAATTAAAAACATAAAACAACATACAAATTAACAAATTTTAACTAAAGAAAAATAAATAAATAGAAACAAAACTTCAAATTTACTCAAAAACGTCAACCAGCGAAATGTAATTTTTTATTTTTCCTTACACACGCTCATTTTTATTTTTACTCTCCCGAAAAGTTTGACTTTTGTAGGTTTGATGTCAATTTGGCTTCTACCTGTTTTTATTGTACGATGATTTGTTTATTGTTATTTTCGTAGCTTACTACCTAATACCTACCCAAATCGCAGGCCGTGTAATAATCAAGTGGTGGAAGTGCGCACTACCATTCCGCAGGGCCTATAATCGAGCCCAGCTTCCGACTAACATCAGAAACAAAAAAAAATAAATAAAAGGTTGTTTCTAATAGCTGTCGGCCGCCGACGGGGAATGGGTTAAGCGCCAATCTATTATTATTATTAAATACGTTAAGAAAAATTTTTTTTTCATTATTAGTTTTTTTTTTACTTATTTTTATTGAATAACATATTACAATAAATAATTTTCATACCATGATCGGCAATAAAATTTACACATAATTTTTTTTTTAGTGGCAGACCAAACAGTATCATAACGGTATTATATAATTTGGTATTTTTTGGTTTCAACATTCAATAGTAAAAATTATAATTTTATGAAATATTTCAAGTTGATTTAAAATAAATTGTAAACTTATAAAAATAAGGCAAAATAATTAGTGGGGAATAATCAAACATAAACACACAAATACTTGTACCAAAGAAATATACATATGTACAGTGTTTCACAGCGAAGTAGTCAGATTTGTGTATGTTAAAGATAAAATAAAAAATAATATTTTAAATACGCGAAGTTTTGCTCTTCAAAGCCAAAGTATATGAATATTCGAGATATTAATGCCCCAAATTAGAGTAACTGCTATTATTTAAAAATAGTTTGTTGTGTTTTTTTTTTCGACGCATGATTTTAAAATCAAAGTGTCACAAAAATTGGATATACATATGTATACATATTTTAGGAAAATGTGGCAATGCATCGAACTACGCACTTAAATTTGATTACATCACACGTGCTCTTATTTTGTAAAAATAAATTCTAAGTAATGCACAAAATAAGTAGAAACTTGGCTATTAAAAGTGCTCTAAGCGGTAAATTATTTTTGATGTCCCATGCACAAAAGTTATAAACCACTGCGCTTTGAAAGTACACGTTTCCATACATTTTTTAGTAAATATTGCTGTATAAATATAGAAGTAGATCTTTCTGCTACGTTTTCGGGTTACTACAGTTGCTATTTGGCATGAGACTTGATTGCAAGCCATATATGTACGTATTTTTAATTTTCTAGTTACATAATAACCTAGCAAAATTCGCTGCCAACACGAAACTCGTTCGTGGACATTTTCATTTGCATTTACATTATGAAATTAATAGCGAAAATTTTTACATTTTCGATTTTTCAATAATATTCCTATATATTGCGTGTGTATTTACATGTATAACTGTAGCTAACAAATACGTATGAATTTTCATAAAATTTGGTCTAATCTAATTATTGTTTAAATATTATTTTACTGCATTCGCAGCGTATTCCTTTTTCGTATGTTTGTATGTATGCATTTTCTTAAGCCATCATCGAGAAATACGTTGCAAAAGAAAAATTTACAATACAAAAATAAACCTGCACGCGTATCTGCATATGTATATCACTACTACAATTTGTACCAACAGTGTACAACATTTGCGCACATACACATAAAAAACGTGTTGTAAATATAATATTATGTGTTGAGTATAATTTAAATAACTTAAAAAAAGACACTACAATCATAAAACTTAAAAACAATATATGTATGTGTTCAACATAAAATTGTTGTATGTAGATAATAGCGCTGCAGCTGCATAAAAATATGTATGTATGTATGTATCTAACAACCGCCCGGGTCCAGCACGTTCCATTTTCTCATTGACTATTACATTTTTTCGAATGCTAAGCCTATAAGAGCAAGCAGCAGGCAACTTAATCTATATTTACGTTTCTTCAAACGACAACACATTTATTTCCGAATCGGCATTCTGACCCGTGGCGGTACGTCTCCTAGTCCTAACCAGCTTTCTGTGCTTGCTTTGCACGCTGCATCGCTTCGTATGCCTCACTTTCCTTCTTCTCTTTGGCTTTGTTGCGGCGTTCATACTCGAGACGATGTGAAATAATACGTTCAACAATCAGTTCTGTTGTCATTGAATTTTGGGAATCGATGAGCGTGAAGATGCCGCGTGTCTTTGGTACTGCATATGGATCGATTTTGCCATCTTCCAGCGCAATCGGCGTTTGTCCATGGCACACAACGTCGATTTTAAAGTGATCGAGCAGGTCTTCAGTGACACAGTAGGGTGCGCCGATAACCACTTCGTTGACGTACTAAAAGAAGAAATTATGGTTAAAAAAAGTTAAAACACTACTTTTGATTTTTTTGTTTGCTTTTTATTTCCGCCTACCTTACACGCCAGCACACTTAGCACGCGCTCATGCAAATTCATAATGGGATAATTACTGCCTTTGTAGGAGTTCACTACTGGATCCGTATGCAGACCCACAATCAAGAAATCGCCCAACTCCTTGGCTTTCTCCAAGAAATCTAAATGACCCACATGAAAAAGATCAAAAGCGCCAGCAACATAAACCTGAACAGAGAGAAGAGTTGCGATTAAAGTACTTGAATGGAATTACTTTTGGTAAGATCTTTTGAATACTTTTCCGTTTTACTTACAATTTTGTCATCTGATTTTGGCGGTTTGCCATCACTGAACTGTATGATCTTCTGCGTTGTGGGCAAAAACTGGCTGCATCCCGTCCATGGGCTCTTGGCTGATGAGTCTTGTCCCATATTCGATGAACCTGATGATAATTTCATGTTTTGTACTTTTGTAGATAAGTCTAATTTTGAAATTGTTTTTTTTTTTTTTTTTGTTTTTGATATCGAAAAATTGTTAATTTATATGCACAAAAATTGTTATGATTGCACAAAATTGCATACAGATTTTTTACGATCAATCAATTTCAATTACGTTTTAGTACAGGGAGCGCATAGCGTTGATAGTTGATAGCAGTTTCAAAGAGAGTGAAAGAGAGCGTTACGCATGGGATGAATTAGGTATACCATGCAGCATTTGGCATTGCATATTTTCAGGCGTACGTTATACAATAATTTTACGATCATTAATTATAAGTTTTGGTGCCATGGCAGTTGCGATTTTTAGTATTAGCAAAATACGACAAATTTATTTTAATGTTATTTATATTATCAATTAAGTCAGGATATTGTGTGTATTTTTTGGAAATTTGGTTTGACATGTAAATAGAAATAAAAGAAAAGAGAAAAGAGGATAAACAAAGTGTAGAAACGAATAAAACAAACATGCGTGAACGTGTGTAAATTTGGAAAATATTTGCGGCTATAAAACACAAAAATTCAACTACATGCAACATTTTAAAGATACACACACACATATGTATATACATATGTACATATGTATGTTAAATTAATGTGAAAATATACCGGTTCATACAGAGTTAATCAAGAATGTACATACATACATATCGTCACCTGAGTGGAAGATCGACCTATCTCGGTAGACAATTCGTAAACGTAACGGAATGATTCGGGTTTTACCCGAGATCTTGTTTCTTGCGATCTCGCCCGGTTTAGGTCGGCGATGCCCTTCATTAATCATTTCACGTCCATGGAGCAATACCTTGCAGCCGGATTGCTCCGCATCCTTCTTCTCCGGACGGGCGTTGAACCCAACCCCCGACCAGAAACATACTTCTGCTGCGTTTGCCAGAGACGACTCCATCAGAACTCTACCTCGGTTAGGTGCAATTCCTGCAACGGATGGAGTCACCTAAAAACCTATTCTAGCCTTTGGTTTCACAGGGAGTGGACCACAAGCTTGGTGGCCCCCTGTTGCTCAAGCCAAACGGCACCACCGGCCTCCACGGCTACCCGCTCGCGCAACGCGCTGGTGCGAACTCGCACCCAAAGACCCTGCAGGGCTCCAAGAAGCTCCCATGGGCAACAGCAAACCTCCCCACCCGCTCAACCCTCACACCAATCTACCGGCCACTCCTACTCGCGTGTGCGAGCCAACCAGCAGCTTCTGGTTGCCCACACTATCTGTTCCCTGTGCCAGAAATGAGTATAACGGAACGTGACATCAGTCAACTGCAACACATGCCTTGGCTTCTTGACTTCTGTCGATGCTCTGGCCTACGCACCACACGCGAGTGGACAGCAAACTACAGCGCCCCTTGCTGCAGAGCACTGCCGACCCAGACCAGGCAACAAACGCCACTACGCCGGGTGCAACAGGCCCAAGGTAGTCTCAACACTCTATACACACCGGCGAACGCCAGTTCCGCAGAGTTGTCACTTCCGCAGCCGCTCGCTTCATACTATCCGGACGCATCGCGGAAGTCCGCCCAAATTTCCCGGCTGAGGCAGCTGTACTAGCAAATGAGCGTGACCACCTACGCCAGGTCGATCCCGGGGATCTACGCTTGAAGGACCTTAATTTGGAGATTCGGCAACTGGTAAATCAGCACAAGCGGTAAAGAAAAAGCGCTTGAAGTCCTGTAACTTCGTCTCTGGTGTGCGTAAGCTCTGGCATACCGTGAAGTCCTTGTCCAACTCGACGAAGCACGACGGCAGAAATTTCATTCGAAGGTCGCGCCTCGTCGGACCCGAAGAAATGCGCGAACTACTTCAGCCGGCAGTTTACACTGCATCCTTTGGTAGACAAGGCCAAACGTCGAGTGATCGGGAGGCTGCACAAACTGCCCAAAAGCAGTACACCACTTGTTTTCACCAGGGGCGAAGTGAAGGGGGCCATCGGGAAGGCGAAAGCCTCCAAAGCCATTGGACTCGACAGAATCTGTATGCTGATACTGAAACATTTGGGGGAGCAGCATACCTAACGGAGGTCCTCAACCTGTCAATGACCACTCTTATAATTCCTGATATGTGGAAATCAGGGAGAGTGGTCCCACTGGTGAAACCGGGGAAACCCGCCAAGGGTTGCTGGCTACATACAAGGCATTTGGCCGGCCGATTCTAAAGTATGCAACGCCAGTTTGGTCGCCGGGGACTAGTTGGAAGCAGTGAACGAAGCTACAGAGTTGTCAGAACGCCGCACTCCGGACAGCGACAGAGTGCGTTCTGATGTCGCTTGAGCACCACCTACACTGCGAGGCCCAAATGCTCCTCGTACGGGAGCACAACAAAACGCTCTGTAAGCAGTTTCTGGTGGGGTGCCACAGAAGTGAACATCTTAACAGACCATTGCTATATAAAAAAGCCGTAACTAACTAAAATTTTGTATTGCTCAAAATTATGCGTCGGGGACTTATAATTCGATAAAATGCATCATAATCAATGAAAACGGGAATTTTGAATTTGTACTTAGTAACGGTTTTTTGTATTTCAGCGGCTATGTGAGATTGGGCCTTTCTATATTAAGGTAACGATATGTATGTATGTACTTTAGACCGTATCACAAAAAAATTCAACGTGTTCCGAGCGATCTTGACATTTTTTTTTTTACTTCTCTTATTCACATTTAGCATGTTCCCGTACTACAGGATTTATAGTACAGTCCGAAGTCTAGGTACCAAACGTTTAGCTATAAAAAAAAAAATTAATTAAGATCGATAGAACTTTTTTGGCTGATTTCAATCATAAAGTTCAACTTTTTTTATATATATACTATCTCGGAAACGACTCGACTGATTAGGAAAGTATTGATGCTCATTTAAAGATAATTCAAATACCTCTTATGCGACGTCCATTATACTATAACCATTTTTCAAACAAATTTTAAATAACCGCCATTAAAAAAATATATATATTTAGTTTTTTGTTTTTTTTTTGTATTTGCGGCTTAAGAATATAAAAAATTTAATTATAACTAGTAATTTTTAAGCAAAAACCCGATCGGACTTCAATTCTCATATAAAATCTCTTAATCTTAATCACTTCATCCAATGAAAATCTATAAAAATTACCTGGGACCACCTCTGAGGTACCTCCTTGCCTTTAAAAACTTAATTATAGAAATTGGTTAGCGTGGCCCAAAGTTATGCGGTAACATACATAAAAAAAAATAAAAATAAAAAATTAAAAATAAAAATAAAGTAAATAAATAAAAAATATTCGAATCGAAACCGACGAAATGATAACCTCCTACTTTTTTTATGTCGGTTAAAAATGAGTGGCACATTAATCACCTTTATTTTGACATCATTAGTTTTTAATAGGCTATGTAGTTCAGAAGATATTATTAAAAAAAATTTAACTTCAACCTGTAATATCTACTGTATTTATTGGTATGGTTGAAATCAGCCTAAAAAGTTCTATCGAGCCGCATTTTTGGTTTTCGCATAGCTAAAGGGTTAGTATTCTAGACCTATGTGTACGCTACGACTTTGGACTATTTCTGATTAAATGCTATAGTACGGGAACAGGGTAATTGTTAAAATATATCCGTGCGACCAAAACGTATAAAAATGCGACCAAAATTTTTGCACTGTGCTGCCAAATTTAGTCACTCTCATAGGGTGTTCAAAATACATCGTGATACGGTCTAATGTACATACTTACATAGTATGTATTTTAAACTACGAAAATATAAATTTTCGAAAACTTTTTTCAAAACGCAAATAAAAATAATGTTCCGATAGCCATGTGTTCTCTCTTTTTTCAATTGCTTAGAAATCTAAAATTTAAAGAACCTGTATTTACTATTTTTATATTTTCGGAATTACTAATTCTCATCAGCTCGAAATACAACAACCAAAACTGGAAAGATGGAAAACTCGAAGAATTTCTTATAGAATGTTGCGACCCTTTCATGGTTTTAGAGGCCTTTTCCAGTTTGGGGCGATACACCCAGTGGAAAAGAGGGAAAACTGTATTTTTTACAAATGGACCTGGTTTCTTCGTCGCGTTTCGAAATCTATTTGACTTGTTTAATTAAACAAATAAAAAAGTAAAAAAAACTTGATCCACGTGCAGCACTCAACTATAAGCATAATTCAAGCTGAGACTGAGAAAGCGTATACCAATTGAGTTTGAGCTTAAAAAAATTTAAAATAGTTGTTAGTAACTCAACGCCACAAAAAAAAAAAACACAAAGTCCAAGAAGCATAGAAGGCAGTATTAATATATTTTTAAAAGCATTGCAACATTTATTTTTTTTTTTAGATAAACATGAAAATTAAAATGATTTTAGAGTAAAAAAGATTAAAAATAAATTAAATAAAATGGAAACATAAAATAATATGCAGATGACAATATTAAGGCAATTTTAACTAAAATATGAATATTGTTAAAAAAGCAGAATGAATAATACAAGAATATATTGGGTGTACAAGAATTGATATTTACATTTCGTGGCGTCGATAAAAGATTGTACTAAGCGGCATTTTGACGATTTTTAGTTATAGATGCAGCTATACATATATTTTAAATAAATTATATATTTTTAAATAAAATTAAGTAAATACAAGGAAACAAAAAGTGAACCGGTTCGGGGAAAATGAAACTCATGATAAGACTGATCGATTGACAAAAAAATGTATCAGTAATTTAGTAAAAATTTAGTTATAATACAGTCATACTAAACTAATCAAGATCTTTCAAATAGCGGTATCCATTTTTGGATATCTCCTTTGGTTTCCGAGATTTTGAGTAAAAAGTATCATCAAAGTAAAATGCGTAAAAATTTTTTTGAATATCACAATTCTTTATTTGTCCAGTTAAGCGGACTAGTCAATTTTCGCAGAAATTTTCTTTCCCGATCTAAGAAAGTTACTGAGTTTCAATTAGTTTTTCATTCCTATTTATGCACGAAATGTTTTAAGCAAAGCAGCCTTTTTGCAATAAAAGTTCAGAACTTAATTGTACACCCAAAATAACTTTCAACGATTATATGAAAACAAGCAAAATAGTTTATATGCAAAAACAATTTTTTGGTAAATGAAATATGAAATTTTAAGCTGCAAAAATTCGCATACATAGATAATATGTTATAATATATAAGCCCCATGATATACAAATGCCAAGTCTAATTTATGCTGAGATAAGCACTAAATGTAAAGAATTTACCTTCTTTCTCAATGGCATACTCTGCCGAACCTTGACGGAAATGATTGCGCGTCAACAGCAACATGCGTCCGACTAAATCTGTTGTTGAAACGCCAGCAGTACGACGCACTTCTCTGTGAATCACAATAAATGTTGAAAACAAAAATATTAATTCAAATTTAAAACTATTATCGAGATTTTATTTACATACTTGTAACGATTGGCAGACTTAACGAGGTGATATGTGTCCACACCTTCAGCGGTCATTGTAATGTCATCTAAGACGCCAAAAAATAAAAATAAATGTTGAAGCAAATTTACAAAAAAAAAAAATATGGCCTTCGTATAAATCGTGCAGTTACTCACCGCCATGCACACAGAAATCACAGTTGTATTCATCGAGCACCTCGAGTGTTGTCACATAGGGCGCGCCAAGCACCACCTCATCCACCCATTTGATGCCCTTGACCATTTTAACGCGTTCTTCTTCCGTAAAGACGGGTGGTCCCTTGTGTTTTGTGATTTCCTCATCGGTGTGTATGCCGACAATGACCTTATCGCCAAGTGCTTTGGCTTGTCGCAGGGAATTGGCATGACCGAAATGCACCATATCGTAACTGGAAGGGAACAGTGTTGGTTTCTTATTAGCAATTGTTTGATGTTGAATATGAAAATAACCCAATTAAACGTCGTGTTCTTGAATGTTTTGCATGATGACTTTTATGAGCCTATTGTTTAAGTGTGTGCACTACCTTTGGCTAGCTCGCAAGGACGATAAAAGATGTTTTTTTCTTTCGGGCACCATTAACACCTCTGCAGGTAAAGGCAAACCTTCAATTATAAAACCGTAGGTCTCTCCTTAGTGTGACAACATCAAACGATAATCACCAGTTGTAGGAGAATCTCAGCCAGATACATGGCAAATGTGTGAGCGCCAAATATTTTTTTGCTTGCAAGTGAGTGTGGTAGTTTCTAACTGCATTTCGTTATACTCATTTATAAAGCTTTAAGTTACACAACTGTCACATTTATGATTGATAATAATTTGCAAATAAGTTAACTAAAACCTCAATTTCACTAAACAAATACGAAAAATATCAAATACATTTAAAACCGCGAAAAATTACTACCAAAAAAAAACTAAGTTCTTTGTTGAGTTCGGTCACGCGTTTTATATACTAGTTCCTCCACACGATTCAAAACAAAACGACAACGTTGTTCAATTTTTTTTTTTTTTTTTTTAGATAAGATAAGAAAGCACTTGAAAAGTGAGTATCGCAAAAATCAGCAATTTTACGAAAAAATAAATAATTGTGTATGAGTCAAACGAGTATTTGCACAATGCAATTGACTAGCCTTATTGAAGATTTCACGCAAAAGAAATCTATATATCTATAATTTTGAACCACTAAACGGAATCGCACGAAACTTTACACACTTATTTGCTTTTACCCCGGGAAGGTTAAAGGTATGGTTTTGCGAGGGGGCGTGGCACCTCCCATAGGACTGCAAATTTTTAATCAGCTATAACTTCGGAATAATAAGTCACATGAACTTTGAAATTTGATATGCAGACAAATCGATGGTAGATGCTCATAGTAAGGTACGTACATATATATAAATTACTTTGTAGGAGGGGGCGTGGCATATCTCATTGTCGTGGAATTTTTAATCAGCCATAACATCGGAACCACAAGTCACATGACTCCTTTAATTCCTTTGGGTATGCCTTTCGAATTTAAAAGACTTCAGTTTCCAGTTCGCTTAGCTTTTGCAATGACAATAAACAAGAAGGCCTTAAACCCGAAACTTTATCGCAAATAAAATGTATTATAATTGTATTGGAAAAGGCATTTATGTTAATATTTAGACACTTTGAATTATTAAAAAATGCTGTGAAATCGTATTAGAGTTATTATTCGTAAGAAATTAGATAGTATTTCTTCTATTATATAAATTATTGGAAATATTTTAACCTAAATAAAAACACCTGCGGTGCCAAAAAAATATTATTGCATTTCATTTCATAACGCCCAAGCTATACAGCTGTCTGCTATCGCGGCTATAGTAAAATTAGAGCAGAAAGAGAGTATAACATCGTTACATAAAGTATTTTTCATATCTGTATAAAGACGTGGGATGAAACCCGCGGATAAAAGCTAGTACCCTAATAAATAAAGTAAACATAATGCAAAACATTGTTAGTGAAAGTGTAAGTGACATCAGGCAAAAATTGTAGAACATCTTCTAATTTATACGCAAACATAGTGCCAGCATCTTAGACCCACTCATACAAAGTTATACGTACAAATGTATGTACCTACAGTGGTGGAAAAATATATGTATACTGACGCTACAATATGTAACACCAAACTTAACACTTTATTATACTATTGCTATTAAATGGGCTGTCAGGTCAAACTACATGCCAACATTTTTTCTAAAAATTCTGCCTAAAACGTTTGAAATTTTGACTAACATGGTTTTCGTTAGAAAATGAGCTATACTTTTAAAAAAAAATAATTCCACCAGCAATTTAAATGGAAAATGATTTTTTTATTTTCTGTCAATTTCCATATAAAATTCAAAAAATTAAAATCACTGTTTACTTAAATTGCTTTCTTGCAATCGGCTGGAAATAAGCAAAAGAAAAATAGCCAAAAGTTGTTAAAATTACCCGCCCCGTCCCTATTTATTTTTCCGCCACTGTATGCATGTACCTATGTACATATGTACCACATATATTTGGTTTAAATCAGGATACTATAATTCTGTGGACATTTGTGAACTTCGTCGAATTATTATAAATCTTATACAAAGTTTAAAGCTTTGAGTTATATGATTTTTTAATAGCATGCACTATATTTTCCTAACAATATAGAGTAAATATAATAAATAAAAATAGATGGTCAAAACTTGAAAAAGAAAATCGTTTCTAATTATCCGGCCACCAGTGAACGGTCATACATAAATATATACAAGTAATTTTTAAGCAAAAAACAAATCGACTTCAACTTCCATATAAAACTTTAATCAGTATGGGACGGACCACCTTTGAGGTAACAACTTTCTTTAAAAAAAAAAAAAAACAAATATAGAAATTGGTTAGCGTGGTCCAAAGTTATGCGGTAACATACATAAAAAAAAAATATTCCGACGAATTGATAACTTTCTCCTTTTTTAACGTTTTTGAGTTTATGAACAACTGTCAAGTGTTCTCACTGGGCTGTTTAAGATACTCAGAGTTTAATTTGACATTTGTTTTTTTACTTTTTCTTATTCACTTTAGCCTGTTCCCGTACTCCAGGGTTTAGACAGAAATAGTCCGAAGTAGCCGTGGTGTAGAATACCAACCGTTTAGCCAAAAAAAAAAAGAAAGAATGTGACTCGATAGAACTTTTCATGCTAATTTCAACCATATACCAAGATTATTTTACACAAACAAAAACTAAAGCCACTAAAAGAGGTTAAAGTTAAACTTTTATATTTTTTAAATTTATAATATGTATCTCGGAAACTATTTGACCGATCACAAAAGTATCTATATAATACAACACTTTTTAAAACAAATTTTATATGAACACCATTTAAAGAAAATATATTTGTATATTTTTTTTGGATTAGGTATTTCTGGCTTAAATATATATTAAAAAAAAAGCAAAACATTATGAACGTTCTGAAAGAGCCCCTTATTACCTTTATTTTGATGTCATTAGGTTTTTAATAGGTTACGTTGTACAGACGATATTAATATTTAAAAAAATCAAAAAATTTAACTTTAACCATTGATATATTCTTTTTTTTACTTCCGCCAGATAATTTTGGTGGGGTTGAAATCAGCACAAAAAGTTCAATCGAACCACATGTTTGGTTTTTGCATAGCTAGATTGTTGATATTCCAGACTTATGTGCACGGAACGACCTATTTCTGATTAAATCCTGCAAAGGCACAAACCAAATTCAGTCAAAAAAAAAAAGGGTTGCGTTCCCATAAACTCCAAATAAAAGTGGTGTTTAAGGAGATTTTAACGAAAATTATTTGTATGGTAAACTGCGAGTTTATGAGTAGTGTTTAACGTTAACCTCTAAAATGGCACAAAAACTCGTTTATGGCTCAACATGAACATATTTAGCATAAGAAAATTGTTCTCAAAGGACTAAAAATGGAATATGTATGTGGCGGATTTTTAGTTTTTTTTTACGTTGGCAAATATAAAATAATTTTTCCTTGTTGCTAACATTTTCATGGCCAGCAACAGCACTTGAAGCATTAGTTGCCATAAAAGTTCACGAACTTTACACAATTTATGCTAATTGAAATGTGAAAAAACATGCGGCTATAAAAAGCGTGACCTAAACACTAAACCGTAAAAAAAAATTAAAAAAAAAATTAACATGCAGTTTGGCTATCTAATTTAGCAGCCGTATTTTTAACTATGTATTAAAATTTGCGGAATAGATTTGCCGCCAAATGGCAAGGTAAACCACACAACAACACACTCCTCCACGCACAGTGTCATTCACGAGCGCATCAACTGAGTACCGCTGTCGCTTTTTTAACAAACCACTAGCACCGCTAAATAGCTCATCAGGCGGCGGACGGACTGGACTGGCTTAGTTGTTGTCGGATTGGACTTTGTACCCGATCATATGTTGCAGTTGGTACATACTTATATGTAATTTTATTTTTAATTCTTGTTGTTTGTGTGTATGTAGTGTTGTTGTTTTCTTTTTATAAATGAACGAATACGCAGTCAGAAGACCAGCAGACAAAATGAGTATCAAAAAATTAAATACAAATGTTGCTTTTCTGAGTTTTTTTTTCCCAATTATGTATTTATGTAGCACGTTCAACACAATTCGACTTTCGATCACGTTCTTTCCTTACGAAATAGATATTTGTACGTTTAAAAACTGTACTTTATGTCGTCTTTAGATATTTTTTTTTTTTTAATTAATAGCTTTTATGCGAAAAATTAACATTTGCTCTTCAAAATAAATTTATGTATGTAGGATTAATATGTTATAGAATGTAAGAAATTCAAAAATGGTCTCGAAAATACAGAATATTCGTAGTTAAGTTGAAATGCATGTCGCTTAACTCATACGTAATAACCTAAATACATATTCAGTAATTTAACAGTCCGAGTGGGCAGCTGATAGTGACGCATACAATCGATAAAATTGATTATATACTGTACATACATGTGTACATATGTATATACATACATACATACATAGATATGTATGTACATTTATGCAGGGGGTTATCTTAATGGCTAGACACCGGAGTTATCGGCAACGATATCGTTAAATATTTGATAACCAACATGGCTTATCACGCAAGGGCATACACCAGTTCAGCATGAGCACGAGAAGGCGACAAAAACACCAAAATGTTAAAATAAAATTTGATTAAATTTGCTTTGGCAAGGCAGGTGAACTTCAAGGAATACAATTAAGATGCTGGAATCCGATTATTCGTAGTTCCTAACTATCCGACGAGTTGCCAGCCAAAAACAGGAAATTTGAAGTTCATGTATTTTGGAACGAATTTCCATCATCCCTGGTCAATTTTGGTTTGGAGACAAACCGTTTTCGGTGTTGTGCCATCTTC